GTCCCAGAAGGCACCGCAAAACATCCCAAAATATCTTCTTCTCTTAACAAGTGCAGAGCTCAGAACAGTCTGTGTATCTTTAGAGTAAATTACCCATTTCTCTTATCCATGTGCATGTTAATTTGAAATAGAAATATTTGTTTGGAGAACAAGTCTGTTTTCCTTTTTTAGCTTAGCAGCTAGAAGCTGAAAGAGAAGGCCTTGTGGGCCTTTTTCAGATCTCTGTTGTTGCATGAAGCACCATCAGGCACAGGGAAATAAGGTCTTGCAAAGATAACTAGAATAGAGTTGGGATTTTTTAAATATTGCTGTTGGTTTATTCCCTGTCTGTCCTGAGAGCAGCTCCTCTTCTCTACCCTGTTTTGCAGAAACTGAAAAAGGGGGGAAAATAAATAGAAACAGAAAACACAGAATGAAGATTTGTTTCTGCTGTGCAAATGAAAACATCTTCTGGACTAATTTAAACTACTGTAAAGTCCTAAAACCACACCTGCTGATTTTGTACTGGAACAGATGTGATGTGCTGCCCAACACCATCCTGCCAGCTTTATTAGCTAGTAGAGGAGAGAATAACAAGCCATGAAGTAGCATTTTCATCTGGTATCTGTCTGTTTGTCCTTCAGAATAGTTATCTAGACAGCACTGCTTCTATTTATTGTTCAACCTCCTATCAGCTCCTATTAGAGTCAAAATAAAAAAAGAACCAGGTAATGAAACCCAGTCTGAGTCCAGTATACCCCTCTGCTAAATTTCTCTGACAATAGTAAGAATCATGAGAATGCAACCAAGTTAAATGTACTGTATTTAATCCCACTTTGAGTACCTGCCAGGGACATGAAGCAGTTTTGGTATTTAGTCCTGAAGAGGATTTCTGTATTGCTTCTGTGCTGCAGACTGTAGGCTAACAGAAAGGTCATATCAGGAAAGACATAGTCAGCAACAAGAGCTAGTGAAATCCTTTAAATTTATTGTAGTAATTCAAGTGCAAGTAATGAAACCCAGGTTACATCTACTTAACACTCTGTGATTTGTTTGTTCATTTTTAAGATTCTTTTAGAATTGGAATGAAAATATAATATTTAAACCTAAGCCAGAACTTGTTGTCAACTCCCTGCAAAGACTAGAAGATTTACTAAAACCCAGAAATAAAAATAGAGAGGTTGAGAAATCCCTCTATTCCCAACCATCCCTTCCCTAGCTGCTTTTAATACTTCTAGATTTGGTCATGCAACTGTGCAATACCTGCTAGTAGTCCCATTTGATATAGTTAGTGTTAATACACACCAAAAATATGAGAAGGGCAAGTGATATAAACAAAGTGCTAATAATGGGCTGAAAAATAGTCAAACAAGGTAGAAATGCTGGATGGCTGGAAATAGTGTATGAGTGAGAAGAGCAGTAGCTGAACTACTGTTCCCCTAAGAAAGGTGTAAGTCTGCAGGGGAACCCAGAGATGGCAACCATGCCCAACCTTCACAGAAAGACACACTGCTAAGCCTGGGATCAAATCCCTTGGGAAGGAGGAAAAGAGCAGGCAACCAAAGCTAAGAGTAAGTGAAATAACCCTTCCAGACCTTCTGTTCCCCGTGCTTTATGGCATGCAAGCATGGAAAAAATCATAGGTGGTGGTGACACGCTGATAAATTTACCTTTGCTGCTAATTATCTTAATATCATTCTTAGCCCCCCATCTGTCCTAATTATATAGTAAATTTTTTTATTCTGGTACCAAATAGACATCCTGATTTAATGTAAAAGGTCCGTGGAGGCTAAGAAACAAAGAAGCTTGGAGCTTTTCAGCTATTGAGGGTTTTATTTAGTTGGTACAGTGGAGTTTGTTAAGGATGTGATGTTTGTGGGTGTCAGATCTATGCAATCAGGACCTGTGGGTGCAGCTGTGACTACTCCCAATTGCAGGTTCAGACAGCAGTAAGGATGAGTCCCACAGTGGCACAAGCACACGTGTCAACACATGCATGATTCCAGAAGAGCTGGTTTACCACCAGCACTCACACAAGCCTAAGTACAGAGAGCCCAGTTCAATTGCTCCTCGCTGGCTGTTCAGGATTGAGGTTCAGGTGGTGACAACACACATGCTCCCACTCTCTGTGTTCACATGTATGCTCACATTCCCAGATTCCTCAAATATCAGCACAAGCTCTCAGGTCATATCTTCAGCCTAGGCCCTTTACCCAGCCAGTGATTCACATGTTGAGTTTTTCCAGAGAACTCTTCTATTTGACTGCTAATCCAGACTGGAGTTTGCTAGCAAACTACACATGTACACACATCGACACAGGATTATATTCACTGGAGAAACCTTAACACATCCATGTCTCTCCAGTGGCTGACACTTTGACTTTGCAGCTCACATTTGGTCTCTCTGGTTGCTGGCACACTGACCTTTCAGCATGCACACCTAGGTCAGAGAGGGAGATTACACAGTAGAGAAAAAAAAAAAAAAGGATTTAGTATGAAAATAGTCCTGTGACCAGGCACAGGACTATGTCAGAAAAGCATACAGCCTACCAGCCTACCTACCTGCTGCCACTCCCTTTATTCCCCTCCTCTCTGATTTTCCTACACTTGAGACTCCCTGATCCATTGTGATCCTTTCCTTTGCTCTTTTCCCTGACCAGGCCATCATAAGTTTTCCATGGTCCCTGAAGTCACTTCTTATTTTCTATAATAATAAAGATAATCACATTTTATGTTTCTTATCAGTGACAAAGTTCAACCTGACCTTATTCAAGGCTGTGACCAAACTGTTCCTTTAACAGCCCATCATCAGGCAGTGACCAACACATTCTGGTCCCTGTTAATGTCTCCTTCATCACCTGCTTCTTAGTTCCTGAGTGCCTGTGGGTTTAATTTATCACTTTCCTCATTACTTGTTTATTCTGTTGTACTGAATAGTCCTTACACTGTCTCCATTTGATTCTGTCGAATATGATACAATGACCTGAAGGCTGATTGAGCTGGGGTGTGTATGGGAATTGATGCATAGACAAGCTACAAATAATATTAGATGGATACAATAATCTTGAGAACAAGAAATTATATAAGGTGTGCCTTATAATAAGGTGTTATTTCAGGAAAATAACAAATTAACATTTCCAAATGACACCAAATCAGTATTCCCAGTGCGATGTGACTTTGTCTCATTAATAATTGAGACTAAATATGGAGCACAGTATGAATGTGGAGTATCACAGTAGGGCTAATAGTGCTGATAAAAGCAGGTGTCAGTGGTTTGCAAAATGTTTTGGGCAATCTTGGTAAAGGGGACATTTATTTGCTGCGTTTTAAGATATGTGGTCCCAAAGTATGTGGCTGCAGAAAACTACAATACAGATATAATTTCCAAGGGCTGAGGGTCAGCTTCTGTTTATAGGTATTATCTCCATAGCCTTTTTTACTGTAAAGAGTTTATCCATATCACTTTGGTTAGATCTGGGCAGCCTCTTTTTTTCCCTGTAACACCAAGTGCACAGCCTGGGCATGCAGCAAGCCTTGAGCTCGGATGCACTCTCAGCTGTAAATAGTATTTTATCCTTGTAAGTTTGTTCTTTGAACCCTCATAGGCTTTACTACTGTTTACTCCCAGGACAAACTCTGCAGTCTCCAGATCTAGAAGGAAATCCTGGAGGTAAACTCTCCCTTTCCTCGCAGAGCCTGGAAGCAGAGGACATACTTTACTGCTGATGCACCTCTTCCAAATGAGATGAAACATAAATTGATTTTTGGGGTGTATACAGCTTTCTCCTGCCCTGTCAACCTTTTTAGTGGTTTCCCTATGGGGGGCTTATTTGATTACATTGTCATATAGCACCATACCTCCTTACTGATCTTCAACACTGATCAGCAGGAACCAGAGTGCTCTGTCTGCAAGGACAGATTCTCTATTCTCGTGTGTAAGCAGGTATCTGTCCTCAAAGGAACATGCACTACCTGAAAAGATAGGAAGCTTTGGTCTGTTTTGGTCTAGATTTTTGAAGAAAAATTCCTTTTTTTTTTTTCTGTGATACAGGATATTTTTTGATGTATAGGTAAGGAATGAGGATTTCACATCCTACCTAAGGGAAGCTTCTCCACCTGTTGTGTAGAAATAAAAACATACAATGCATATTTCTCAAAAAAAAAAAAACAAAAACCAACAACAGAACCCCCAAAACAAGCAAGATAATAAAAAAATCAATTTACAAAAAATTTACTATAGATTTACCATCCAGTTAAAGCTTATAATGTTTTTCTGGAATCTCATCTACATTCTTGTGAAGTTATTCTTTTTTAAGAATAGAGAGAAAATACTGGCATCCCTCCAAGGTTGCTTCTGTAAACTGAATCTTATCTTAAGTAAAATGCCCAGGAGGAGCACATAGAGAGAGATCCTGGTGGCTATTCTGTGGGTTTTCAATCTTGCTGTGCTGGAGGGGATGCAGTTTAGGGTCCCTTTGTTGTCATGTTATGTTTTAAACTTGCAGTTGTGTGATGAAATACCATTCTTTGGGAGGAAAGTTGCTTTCAATTGTTTGCTTTTCTCTCTCTCTTTTCTCCTTGCTCTCTTCAGGCAGTTGCTCTTGGCTTCAGTGAGACACGCTTTCACGAAGCTCCTCTTGTCCCTTAGGAAAACTGCTGCACGAAGACCAAAGACATCAAACCCGCAGCTGAGGAGCAGCCCGGCACAACCCTGCAGGGACCCCCCTTTGCTCAAACTGTTTATGAAATTGTAAACCAAGCTGCAAGAGGGAGACGGTCTGGAGGCAGAGGGGAGGGGGAGCTCACTCCTCCTCCCTCTCTGTCTCAAAGCCTTTTGCTTTCCAAGCTCAAACGCTAGCTGAAATCTGACGCCTGGACTGCACACACTGTGAGACGTGGGCATGCCCTTGCAGTGCACTGATTTCCTCTGCAGCTTGGAGAGCCAGAGGCGCGCTGAGGCTCCAAGTGAGGAGTCACTCCAGCGGGCAGTGAGTGCCACATCACTGTGCTGCTTGCCTAAGGGGCTCCAGCATGGTTCTGAGGCTCCTGCTCCTCCTCGGCGCACTGCTTAGGGCCACCAAGCCAGCTCCCCACTGTGAAACCGGCCAGGAGACCCTAGGTAAGATTTATCACCCCAAAAGCCCCTCCTCTTCTTCCTTCTCTTGGAGATGAGCAGAGTAAAGGGCTCCAGCTTCAAGGAGAGGGAGACAGGAGTTGTCACTCTAGAGACAAGGGGGATCAGCTTTTTGGAAACCTGCACATTGCTAGTGATGAAACTGGGGTTGTGCTTGGGAAGTGTGGATGGGAAGGCAGGAGGTGTGTGACTCTGCAACAGAAGAACAAGGCTGTGATGCAAGAGAACATAATGATTCCCCATTACTGTCTTTAGGGCTGTCTGTAGATGTGTCTTTCTGTCACTTTATGGACTTCCCAACTGTTAGGACCCCCCTCACTCTCATGGGGAATGCAGAAGATTTGCCTCATCTCTGGCCTTGCCTTCTAGGAATGTGGTAATCAGATTGTGAGAAGGTGAACTTTTGACCTTCTGTATGCTTTTCGGCTTAAGAAAAAAAGCTTTTCCTTACATTTAGCTTTAGGTCACTTATTTCAAGTCCAAAATATGAGATTTATTAGGATCTGACAGCTGTAAGGGTGTGTTTTAACTTGCTATAAGCAATATGGAATTTGTACGAGTTGATTGGCTGGAAAAGTAAATTTACCCTTTAGAATAAAGGTTAAATAGGAATATGCTGCTAAATTGATTGAAAGCTTTTGATTCAGTAACTATCAACTAATAAAAAATATTAACAATGTCTTTTAAAAATCTTTGGGTTTTATCAAGTGTATTTAATTAAAATGTCATTTATGTGTACATGATGGAGGCATGAATTTCAGTGTAGTGACAAGGTCTATTCCAGGAAAACTATTTTCAGAGCATCTAAACTTAAAATGAGTTAGAAAAATATTTATTTTATGGGATTACAGGAAGATATAAGTTAACCTTAAAGTGATCTTAATGTTGCCCAAAGAAATTCAGCTATATTTCAGTGTTTAAATATAAGCCAAAGACTGTCACTGGCATTGAACTGCTACACAATGCAGTCCATGTGCCATGTACTGCATATAATTTGAGAGTGCTGTTCCCATGAACATCAAGGTCTACCGCAGCCTAAAGGGATTTTATTTTTGGACAAAGCTGCACAAAGAGAAGTGTTGTAGACTATTTACAGCCAGTTACAGGAAGAGGCAGTGTGGTTTGCAGCATGCCCTTTCTCTGTGAGGTATGATTCTACTCCAGTTCCAACTGATCAGTTTTGCCATGGGATATCAATCCTAGCAGCCACAAATCTATGGATCATTGAGGGGTAACTCTGCTGTGGTAGAGTGTTTTGTGTGTGTTGGCAACTGTGCTGTCTTTAGGGGAGGGCTTGCAGAAGGGCAAGCAGTGGAAAAATACCTTGGATCTGGTGGGACTGGAGAGCTGAATATGGTGCTAGAGGGATGGGTAAAGGTAGGGAAAGGGAGCTGTCAACATCACCACATTGCGTGCCACATGAGGATGGGGTACACTTCACACTGGAGGACTGTTGAATCAGACAATAAAGTAGCAGCTTGGACACTCAGAGACCTGCCAGATTTCTCAAGGGTCTTCCTTTTCTAAAAGGGGGGTAAGGTCATGTCAGGCCACGTGAAAAGAAAGGGCACTGCAGCAATGTTCACAAACAGACCTGGCAGGGGTCTCCTCTCCATGGTCAGGGCAGTAGGTTATGTCTTCAGCTGTAGCAGTGGGATTTTCTCCCCTGTTCCAGGATTCCTTGTGTAGGTCCTGATGCAACTCAGTGGTCAGACCTGCGGTGCCCTGCAAGAGGAGACCAGCCTGGAGCTGCTCTTGTAGGAGAGGAGAGTAGGAACCAGTTCCACTGTCTGACTCCCAGTGAGGCTGGAGCTGCTTTCTTCAGGCTACCTGGTCTTCTCAGTGATATTTGTTCTGCAGTGACTCATTTTGCCTTATTTTTAATAAGAAGACAAAGTGAAACATGATTTACAATACCAAAATCCTTTCAAAATGCTTTTTGCTTTTCTATTTAGAAAAATAAGGAAATGATTACTTATAATCCGGCTCTACAATATGATACAGGCATCATACACCGTGTGTGGAGCTTTTTGAGCAGCAGCTGTGAACTGTGGCACCAAGAGAGGGCAAATCCTCTCTTAGCTGTGTGCTGTATCCCTGGGGAGTCAATAAGCCACTGTCTACTCCAGTGATAGGATGCTACATTGTCCCCTTGTGAGGCAGCATTTCCAGACCCTGATGAGTTTAACTGGCCTCTTAACCTACAGTTTGGGTGAGAAAAGCACAGCTTAGCATGTTTCCCCCGAGAGGTGGCCAACCATTAGCGAAGGGAGCTGGTAGCACAGGTTCCTCTTTTATCCAAGTCATGTGTGTCTTTGCTGCTGACTGATGTATTCCTGTGGTAATTAGTTAAAGGAAGTACTTTATCATAACTGACAACGAAAACAAAATCCACAGAGAAGCAGGCTGAAGTCACTTGCCTTCAAATTGGTGACTTTCCTTGCAGCTGGGGCCAACTGTGCAGTTCCAATGCCACCAGGGTCAGGCTAAGGCTGAATAGAATCATAGAATAACAGAATAATAGAATCATAGAATGGTTTGGGTTGGAAAGGACCTTAAAGGTCATCTAGTTCCAACCCCCTTGCAGGGGCAGGGTCACCTTCCACTAGACCAGGTTGTTCCGAGACGCATCCAGCTTGACCTTGAATGTTTCCAGGGATGGGGCACAACAGCGATAAAACCTTTAATAATACTAATAAAGCCTTTCATTTCCTGATCAGTTGTATTCAGGCAGAGTTTTATTGCGGAGTTCTGGGGCAGGGGCACACCGGTGCTCCGGTGGGAGCCCCCAGGGCTTACAGGGTGCGCGGGGAGGCAACGTCCGAGGTTCGCCCTGGCCTGGGACCTCCCCAGGGGCCGGGTGTCAGAGGGCCCCTGGCGGCCCCCGGGTGGCCTCTGGCGGCCGCGGTGGCTCTGGCCCGGGCAGGCCACCGCGTCCGGCGGCCGCCGCTGCTGTGGTGGCCACCGTGTGGGCTCGCTCGTTGACAGGCTCCGGGCAAGGGCACCGGAGGCTGGGCTGGGGTTAAACGCGGCAGGGATGCCCGAGCCTTTTGCCAGGCTCCCGATCCTTGCCCGAGCATTTCGAGGGTGTTTCGGGCACATGGCACAGCCTGGCAGAGGATAGAATCATGGAATAGTTACGGCTGGAAAAGACCGCTGAGATCGTCGAGTTCAACCATTAGCCCAGCACGACTGTGTTCAGCGCTAAACCATGTCCCTAAGTACCATATCTGCAGGTGTTTTAAATACCTCCAGGGATGATGATCAATCCCTTCCCTGGGCAGCCTGTTCCAATGCTTGAAAACCTTTTCTGCGAAGAAAGTTTTCCTGATATCCAAGCTAAACCTCCCCTGGCACAACTTGAGGCCGTTTCCTCTTGTCCTTTTTTGTTTTCCGGGAGGAGAGCTACCTTACCTTGTTACAACCTCCTTTCAGGTAGTTGTAGAGAGTGATAAGCTCCCCCCCTCGAGCCTCCTGTTCTCCAGGCGGGAGTCCAGAGGGCTGGAGCTGTTTGACCTGAAGCTGTGGAGGTAGGAGAGCAGCCTGAGTGCTGCTCCCAGAATTGCCCCCGTTGGCCCACCCACCACTTTTGGGTCTCCTCCTCTCAAAAGTTCCTTGGCGTTTCCCACTATTTTGGCTTGTTCTAGTCCTGAGTCAGACATTGCCCCATCCTGGGGGTCTCTGACCTTAACTGCTAGAGATGGGAGGGAGTGGGGAGGTAAAAGGAAGAGAGATGAAGAGTAACAAACTACTAGGGTGAGAGGCAGGGGACTGGTATGGTATTTTTTCTGGAGCTCGGAACAGATTCTGTGACACTGGCTCCTCTCTAAGCCATGGCATTGAATAAGGCTGATTGTCTTCTGGGAAGTCAGACTGTCAGAAAAAGTGGCTTCCAATATAAATGTTATACCTTTCCACTCTTCTCTGCAGTTCCCAACTCCACAGTGTGCCGTGGTTTTTGCTAAGTGAAAAGTGAAAATTATTTCCTTTCATGATCTTCACACTGGCCCCAGCTTCATGGGACCTGAGCATACTTGTTCACTTGCTGTGGATGTTTCTAACACCAGTTTCCTGATGAAACGTGTATCTGTGCACACACACACAGACAGAGCCTCTCCAGGTGCTGCTGCTCCTGTGTGTGTGATTGCACTGAATGACCTGCAGTGGGCTGGGGTCTGCTCTCTGCCCCAGGCCAGTGGTGCCAGCTGGGTCCCTCATCCTGCTGTGGCTGGCACAGGCAGGTGCTCACATGGAGCATGACCACAGGACTGTGCTGCCACATGTGGGAAAGCCCAAGCCCTAGGAATCTTGCCTGCTGGACCCAAGATGGATGTGTCCAAGTCTTGCCAAAACACAAAAATGCAGAACTAGCATTGACATCATGCTCACTCACAAGATGAGAAATTCCAGCTCTTGTAAAGCTGGTTGTCATCACTGAATCATGTGAGCTGCTCTGGATTCCCGCCATTGGCTCTAGTATTCCTGCACAATTATTATTTTAACAACACTGACCTTCAGCTACATTTAACATGGGAAATGGGATCAGAAACAGCCACTTATGTGGGAAAAGTAAGTTTATATTGAAAATATAATACACAGGTATATCCTTTTACTGCTGAAATGGTTTATGCATGATTTTAGTCTGAAGGCAAAGTTTTTTCAGGATACTTGTTGAGATGTCTATAAATCGTGGGAGTGTGAACACATAGAAGTCAAAACTTGAACAAAACCCCACTGCCCTAAGGAACAGCTAGACTTTTAGCAAGACTCTAATACTAATTTTTGATCCCCTGTAGTATTTATGGGCATTGCCTTTCCCTTCACACAGTCACAGGGTTTGAGGATTTTGGCTGGCTGATAGATACCATGGTCCCCTTTGGGCTGGTGACATCATGTGTGAGCCATTCCCTTCTCAAGCCTGGAGCAAATGTTGGATAAATGTCACAGGTATCATTGCTTGAGATAGGGCTGAGCATGGAGGTACC